GACACCGGGGCGAGCCAGCTCCCGGCTGTGGCGTGTGGTTATCTGCCTCCCACGCGATGCGCCTGCGGCTGGGTCGCTGCAGAGGAGCAAACAACAAGCCAGAAATACCCTCCTCCGAAAACTGCCCCCACACCTCCTTCTGAGAAAGCAGTGCTTCCTCAAGGCAGAGAAACAGCACAGAGACTTTCTGAAGTTGCCCGTTGACCCGATGCTACCGCTTCTGCTGGAGCCAGCGAGGGCCCTGGTGGCTGACCGGGGGATGCTCATTCCCCTTCATGCCCCTCCCCGCCCAGGAGCACAGGCCGCAGGGGCCGTGCACGCAGGGTGTTGGCATCGCCCGGCTCTCCCAGCAGCAAACACTCACACCATCGCAGGAAAGCACATTTGATAGGAGCTCAGGGGGATTCATATCCTGGGATTCAGCGTCGCTCGCTCCCCTCCCCCTTTCCTGGGGAGGGAGGAAGGTGTGGGATTCCGCAGTGGCAGTGCCTACAGCAGTGATGGCGAACATTTTGAGCTCGGCGTGTCAGCATTTTGAAAATCCTTCCTAGAAGGAAAAGGCGATTGAGCAAATAATCACCAATTTAATACGTAAACCTTTAAAACTTCCATCAATCAAAACCTAACTAAGATAAGTCTACAGAGAGAAGAGCTGTAACATCGGCGACAGAGAGCTAATATCCCTAATATATCTAATTCTTACATTCATTTTAAAAGACACAAGTTTAATGAGGAGACTGGTGAGATAGAGGCATTTATAAAAAAAGGAGGCAAGGAGCCCTGGCTGGGGTGGCTCGGTGACTGGGTGTCGGCCGGAGCACCGAAGGTCTCAGTCCCAATCCCGTCCAGGGCGCTTACCTGGATGGCGGGTCCATCCCAGGCCCAGGTGATGTGTCTCTATGGAAACTGCCCTGTTTTTAACAACTGAAACCTCCCCTCCCCTTAGAACTCGTTTATTCCCCCCTTTTCAGGGACAGGAGACCCAGGAGGAGGGCGGCGCTGTTGACCGACGGCCAGTAAACCTGCCGACACCAGTTTCCCACCCTTAAACCTGAGCCACCGCGTTCCCTGGGGGTGACTGTGACTGTGACTCACGAACGGTTTCTTCCTGGAAACTCCCTCCGGCTGCGGGTGAAGGAAGGCTGCGCAGGCAAATCTCAGATGCCCCTCGCCCCTGCCCCTCACGTGCTCAGGCCCAGGGGCCTAATCGGCTCCCTGAGGGTGTGGGCGGGGCTTGTGACGTTCACTCTCAGGATCAGGTGGAGGGAGTTTGCAGGAGTCAGCAAAGGCCCCTGTCACGTGACTCTGAGTTACTCGCAGGCGATTGGCCTGCGTGGGACTGACCCAAGCCAAGGAGCCCTTTCGAAGAGCGAGCTTTCGCTCCCGGCCGGGGAGGAATGAGCTGCCAGCTTTGCAAAGGTCTCTGGGAAGGCCCGTGGGCGGGTCACGTGGCAGGGGCCACTCGCAGCCTCTGGGAGCCGACAGCCAGAGAGAACAAGGACGTCCGTCCAGGCTGCGTGGAGACTGACTGCATCTTTCCCCGTCGAACCTCCCTTGCCCCAGCCCGCACCTGGACCGCATCCCGGTCAGACCCGAAGCAGAGGACCCTGATAAGCCGTGTGGGACCGTCACCGAGAGAAGCCACGAGGTCATCAACGCGGGCTGTGCAGGCGGGTACCTTGCAGCGACGTCACCCAGCAACAGGGGCGATGGCAGAGATCAGCTGCCCTAAGATCAGGAGCATGTTTTCCAACATGCTACTTCTATGGGAAGAAATACATGATTACCGAGAAAGAAGTGGTCTATTGTTATTGATTATAGCTGAGTATGTGGGGAAAGCCAGTTCCTACATTAATTTCATAGTCTTTCAATCCAGGTGTGTCGAGCTGGGCTCACGGGTGGTATTTCGTGATAGAATAATTTGTTAAAAGCCAGAAGGAGGCGTGGAGGCCTCTTGTGAGTTGAGCATTTGGGAGTTGAACTGTGTGATTCAAATGTACGATGTCCTGACTGTGGCCACGGCAGCTCCGAGTGAGTCAAAGGGACACACACCAGGAAAGGGAGGGGGAGGAAGTGTGCCCCGCGGCAGGCTGACCGCTGGGCTGGCCTGGGCGGGAGGGACCCCGTGGCTCCGTGGTGGCTGTCACAAATCGCCACACACGCCGTGGCTGACGGACGTGGACTCATGACTCCCCGTTCTGTTTAGGAGTCGGGGTCGTCGCTCACACTGGCTGGTTCCTGGCTGCCCTGGGTGGGAATCGGGGTGTCAGCTGGCCAGGCTGTAATCCAGGCTCTGGTTATTCAACTAGAAAACAAAGCCAAACAGAAAGTCAGGCAATACAAGTAAATCCAGACTCTTTTTTTTTTTTTTAAAGAAAAGTCTAATTTAAAGGAGGAGCATATATGCCCCTGGCAAAAGGACTTGTTGACAAACCCCCCTAACGATGATCTTCAGTGGGGAACTGGTGAGAGAGTCCCACTAAGACGGGGGAGATGCAAGAGCATCATTGCTCACACGGGGTAGAGGAGGGAGGATAAGACGCTAACGGGCACCCACGGCGCTCGCCTTGCCGGCAGAACCCGTTTCCTTTCCATGTCAGGACTCAGGTCCCCGCGTCCTCACGGGTGTCGCCTGGGGGACCCCTCATCTCCCGGGCCTCTCTGGTCCCCTCCATCTCAGAGACGCGATGGTGCCCACAACCTCGCACACTCGGGAGTCTCTGACTTCTCCCCCCGCCTCGCTGACCCAGCGGAGAGACGTCGTGCAGGTGAGGAGAGTCGTGGGCCCACCGGGAGGCTCTCAGTCCTGGGGTCCAGCCGCAGCACCTCGCAAGGTCTTCTCTTTCTCGCCACGCGACCTACCCTGTCCTGAGAGTGGGCGTGGCGAGTGCTCTGCTCGCCACGATGCCCCCTGAGAGGGCAGGGGCAAGGCCAGCACGAGGTCTCCATGTGGCCAGCCTGATGCTACGAGGTGTTACGCTGAGCCCGTGGCGGGGCGAGAGCGGCCCCTCGCAGGGGAAGCCACGGCTTAGCACTCGCCGCGTGGTCGACCTTGTGGCGGAAGGCAAGGTGCGGCCCCTCGGCTGGTCTGCTGCACACTGGCCACGTGTGGACGTGGATGTGGGTCAGCCTCGCACATGTAGATCTTGGGAAAATGAATCTCATTTTTGTTTTATAAAATGGGGGTAAGGAAATGCAGTGAATGATAACTAAGGGATCATGACAGGCTTTACTGGCCTCTTAGGGTTTAAACATGATGATCCGAGTACGTGATGATCCGTGTGCGTGATCCGCGTGCATGATGATCCGCGTGCGCGATGACATGCGTGTGCGATGACCCGCGTGCAGCCTTGCACGTGGAGGCTGGTGAACAAACCTGCTTCCTCCTCTCCTGCTCGTTTTCCAGGATTGCGGAGGAAATGGCTCTCTCCAGGAAGGACAACTCGGAGGAAACAGCAGAGACGCCCACGCTGTGTTCTACTCCCCTTCCGCCTGGTGGTGTCACAGCCTTTACACCAGTGTGGATGGTAACAAGCACACACAATGGACACAGCCAATGGCGGGGTGTGGACAAACACCATGTCACCACGTGCAGGTGTGAAATGTTATGTTTCCATAAATCCGTGAACTGCAAGTCAGTGAGAGGAAGCGAAGCTTGGTCCTTTTCTTTCTGCCTCTGTACGGAAGGGTTAAAAGTGGCTTCTTCTGAGTGACAGATGTGAAAAGTTCATAAATAATTCACACAGCAGGACAATGGGGAGTAATTGGGAGCCTATGCATTAAGCGCCATTGTCTGTTATAAATATCCGCTCCGGTTCTTCCGTGACCAGCACGGGAGTCAGTATTGGCAGTGAAGCCGCCGCGGTGAGCGTGGCTCAGGCCATCCAC